GTTTACGCAGTCAAAATATTCCAGTTTCCCAAGATTTGTTAAAAATGAAGGCAGTTGAGCTTTATAATAAGGCTATAAAACAGGGCGTACAATTTCCTAATTTTGAAGCATCAAATGGGTGGTTGAAAAAGTTTCAGAATCGATATAACATTTGTTGCAAAACCATCACTGGTGAAAGCAAATTCATATGTTTTGATCAAGTAGAGAATGGAAGAAAAGAATTGCAACAAATAATAGCTACGTTTAATATAGATGATGTTTACAATGCAGATGAAACAGGACTCTTCTTCTGTTTAGGTCTGAACAAAACACTTGCATCAAAAGGTGATAAAGTGAAAGGTACTAAAAAAGACAAAGAATGCATTACAGTCTTGCTCTGTTGCAATGTAACAGAAACAAAAAAACTAAAGCCATTTGTCATAGGAAAAGTCAAAAATTCTCGTTGTTTCAAAAATATCAACTTGACAACATTGCCTGTCAAATATTTTAGCAATAAAAAAGCCTGGATGACAATTGAAAGATGTAATGAATGGCTAAAGTGGTTTGACAATCAACTATCTCAGAAGTCACTTTTGTTGGTTGATAATTGTCCTGTGCATACAGATGGCTCGTCCCTTGGTCTTAAAAATTTACAAATTAAATTTCTTCCAGCAAATATGACAGCTTATATTCAACCATGCGATGCTGGAATCATTCACAATTTTAAAGTTTATTATCGAAAGATATTAGTATTACAATGAATTCATGAGTTGAATGAAGGACAAGAGATGAAAAAACCAAATATTAAAGAAGCAATTGAAATAGTTGCAGATACTTGGGACAATGTAAAACAGGAGACAATAAAGAATTGCTGGTTAAGCACAGGAATATTAACTGCAGAAATGATACATGCCAATACAGATAATATGAAGACTGATAAAGCTGATAATGATATAGTTGAATTGATTTCAGCTTTAGATAATCTTAGTATTGCAGAACTCTCAATAGATAATTTGACAACAAATGAATATATTGAGATAGATAATAATTTGGTTAGTGCAGAGTTATCTATAGATGACGAACTCATTGAAGAAATTCTTTTGGCTGAAGAAGTCTTACACCCAACACAAGTAGATATAGAAGATTCAAGTAAGAAAAAAGAAGCAAGCATTTCTGTAAAGGTGGGAAGAGAAGCACTTGTAACAGCCAGGAAGTTTTTAGAACAAAGAGAATTTACAACAGGAAGTGATATAAGATATATCCACAATATAATTAAGCACTTAGATAAAACAGTAGAAATGTCAAAACATCAAATTTCACTAATGGAATTTATTAACCAATAAAATTGCACGATATTATTTATGAAAATACTATACCTCAGATATATCCCCAAAAATCTTGGGTCCCAAAGTGGTGATATAAATGAGGTATGACTGTATGTAGTTCTAATCTCGTTTCTATAGTGTTTATTGAATATATGTTTTGTGGTTTCCCATCTGTTATACCAAGAACATATTTTGTCCTTGTATATATCTGACCTCCTCTCGTTTAGTTTGTCTTTGGTAGGAAGCTCTTTATTAAGCAGTTTGTATCTGAATCCTCTATTATTGTAATCTTGTTGATTGGTATGAAAGCTTGTAATCTTTGATAGTGACAGGCTTGCCTATGTTTTTCTCCAGTCTATTATTTTCTTATTACCTGTACTTAGCCATGTTTTGTGTCTTCTTTGTATTATCCATATATTGACCCATTTGCTGCTTTGCCATTGCTTTATAAATCTATTGGTTCCTATGTCAAGATCTTTACTATTCTATTGCAGTATTTTTACTATTTCCTTTATATATTAACAGTTTGTACCTATGGTGTGTATATGGTCTAGCTTATTGCTTTCTTTTGCTAGCTGGTCTGCATAATTATAATATTTTTTCTCTGTATGTGCTTTGATCTTTTTCAATATTGTTGTTGCTATTCTCTTTCTGATCTTCTTATCGATAAGAGTTGTTGTGAGTATATTTGTTCCTTTTGCTATCCTTTGTTTCACTGTGGTTTCTGATTGTATCACCTAAATCATACACTGGCTATCTGTAAATATGATTGCTTCTATTTTCGAATTGAGAAGTGTTATTGCTATGAGTATTGCCATTAACTCTACTCTTGTGGATAATGAGAATCCTTCACATCTACCTTTAAATTCTATTTCTTCGAGTGTTTTTTTATTGATAATTATATCTCCTCACCTGATTGTTATTGTACTTTTCTATAAATTCATTTGTATATACTTCTATGAGTTTTCAATTTTATATATATTTCTAAATATGTTTAAGTTTTTGTTAAATTGGACTCTGCAGTTTTAGTATTTTTAGATTCAATGTATTTGTTATTGATTTGTTGCTGCTGTTGTTAATTTCTATGTGAATCACATTCTCTTTCTCCAGTATTTAATTGCTTTACTTGTGCATCTCTTTGATTGAGTTTGGTGGGGTTTGTATTTATGGAAGATTTCCTATTATCTGATTGAAGAGTTTTAAACTAGTTTTTGTTGTTTTGACTGGAAGTGTAATTATCTCTTTTAATTGTATTCTTCTGGTACATATGTTTGTTTTTTCTCCTATATCTATATTGCATCCTTTGCATTTTTCAATTGGTGAGTTATCTTCTATTTGTGTAAAGTGCTATGCTTTGAATGAGTTTTCCAAGACTTTAATCCATTTGTTTACCTTTCCTATATATATACTTTGATTAATGATTGCAGAGATATATCTGTATTTTTGAATGTTTTCTTGATTTGCCAGATTACAGATGATAAATGTGTTTATTATTGTTCTGGAAAGAGAGATATTATTGTACTTTTGTTGTTATATAATCTTCTCAAACCAGTTGAATTTATGTCTTATATACTTTGCTCCTGTCCTGATTTTGAAGTGTGTCCATGTAATATAATATGGTTTGATAGTGTTCATCATTTGTTCCATATAAAAGATATTGTGTTTTCTTAGGTTGGCTTTATTCTTGTCATACCATTCGTATGTCATATGTTCTTCAATCTATGTCCAGTTGTTTCAAGATAATGATAATGTTAATTTGTATATTGCTGTCAACCTTATTTGGAGGTTGTTTAGTTTTAGTATATTTAGGATCTATATTGTCAGGTTTCTGTGTGAAGCCATTGTGATATTATATTCAGCCTGCAGGATATTTTTGATGGTCCATGTCCAGTTCTGTAGATGCTATAACCTTGTTCTTGTGATTTGTCCTGTGATATTCATCTCATTGAGATCTTAGAGCCATCTTGTGGTTATTAATTTAACTTGTTTGTCATATATGTTGAAGATTTTATATCCTGTATAGAGATGGATTCCATTGTTAATTGCTATTGTTGAAAAAGCTAGTTTATACTTGAAAAGCATTATTATTTTATTGTTAATTGTATTGCATTCTTGTTGGAAAAGGATTGTGTCCTGAATTAGATATTCTAGTGCTAAAGTAAGTACTTGGTTGATAATATATCTGCATTGTTTGTCTATAATTTTTTTTTATTGTAGTTGTCTTATAATGAAGATTGTTCTATCCTTTATTAGTTGTTTTTGATATCTTTTGGATCTTGAGCTTGTTATCCATGTGCCTAAGATTCTGATTGCCATTTCTTTGCTTTGTGCAGAGATTGGCTTTGCTTGGAATTGAATAGTGGATTGTTAAGTATTGTTGATAGTCAGCAGTGTTAATTTGTTGGGGTTGATCCTTAAGCCTACAATGTTTGCATAGTTGTCTATCAAGTCTGCAATCTTCTGTATGTTTTTCTTTGAATTAGTGAACCATGTTGTATCATTTATATATGAAACTGATGATATGTATAATGTGTATTTCTTGAATAAAATGTGGAATCTTAATGCAATTCATTGCCATGTTGAGTGTTGTATGCTTTATTGAGTCATAAGCCTTACTAATGTCTTGGCTAAGCATCCAAAGTTTTTTTCCTGCCTCCCTTGCTTCTTTCATAATATGATTGATAATCATTATCAGTTCGTATATATCTTCTCCTGGAAGTCCTGCCCAGTTAAGAGAAAATAGAATCTAGTGTGTTGTTAAGACTTATGCAAGTCTTTTGTTAATAATCTTTGTGAATACTTTCTTGATTATTTTCAGTAATGCTATGGGTCTGATCGAGTTGAGGTCATACTGCCAGTTTGAAGTCTTTGGAATTGGGTAGATGAGATTGTGTTACCATTTCTTTGGGATTTCTTTTGTTTGGAGGATTTAATTGAAAAGTATTGTTAGTCTAGTGAGACCTATAAGGCCAATGTATTTGAGTGTTACATAGTTTATCTAGGATTTTTCAGGTGCTGATTTGGCTTTGGCTTTTTTGATTACTTCTTTTATTTCTGTAAGAGAAATCTCTTGAGTACATGTATTGTTATGATATGATTATTGCCAGATATTATAATATGATTGTTGAGATCAAATTTAGTAATAAAGAAAAGTTTGAGAAAAAGATGTAAGGTTTGACATATAATCCTTTATCAAAGGACTTTGTGTCCAATAATTAGGGCTTTTTAAGAATTCCTTTGATAAATAAATTCTTTATTAACTTTTATAAATAATTAGAATATTGTTTGACCAGCTTTAAACACAGATAGTAAAGTGGGCCGTTTTCCTTGTGCCAATTACAATATATTGCTGCTTAGCAACTCAATGGCAATTAGTACCATGAGAACTGTCCTCCTTATACGATTATATATGTACAAGCCTGCCAAAATATTTATGTCAATTAATTTATAAAAGTATAA